CACATCTTTTACAATCGAACGTTTTAGATTCAATGTGTTTATTTGCCATTTGTGCAAGAAACTGACGTTTCCAAGCAGTTAGGAATGTGTTTAGCATAAAGTGTCCTGTTCAAAAACAAAATTTAACAAAATCTAAAAAATAAAGATGAGGAAATAGATAAATTAAAGACTTAAATTTAAAGTATATATATAGTGTTAAAAGATAAAAGGTTTTAAAAATAAAACAAAAGAAAGCAAAGAGGCCTTTGAGGAGATAAATTAGGGATAATGTGTTATGGGTATACATTTTTAGGTAAGGCAGCTTTGTTTGTATAGCACATATCATACAGAGACAATTCTATGTGCTTGCATGAACAGCAAAATCAACATGACAGAATTAATAAATAAATCTAATTAAATATGCATATCCAATTCAGATTTAGGAATCAGAAAGAAGTTAAAGCGTGAGCACAGTTACAATGCAGAAGGTGCAGCATGAGAAACAATCGTAGGCTAAAGAATGCATGAATATTTTAATTTTGATGTAAAAAGTTACTAGGGTTGGGGCACGTTTGAGGAATCTGACTGCATCTGTGTGCTGCAGAGTAGCCAATAGCAGCTTCACTCTGTTTGGTTCAGCGTTCTTCCAGCTGACTGTTTCCCAAAGATCTCAGAGCCTTGCTGAGTGTATATGCAAAGTCTAGGCTGAGGTACTAGCACAGTTATTGCCTTTTAACAGATAAGTAAGCAAGAACACAGGAAAGGTATGTTTGTTTTGTTTATTTTAGGGCTGCAGCTGTCGAATGTTTTTGTAATCGAGTACTCTATAGAATCTTTTATCGATTAATCGATTAACTAATGCTTAATAGTGTGCACTTAATATAAAGTGTTACCAATTACCCTTTTGTGTTTGTAAACCATTATATCAAATAGCATGTTATAAAATATGAAAGACCTCTTAACATGAGCAAGCCATTGCCAGTTATTCTTCAAGTTCTATTCAAAATTAGTTTTCAAAACTTCAACACTTCAAATTTACTTCACAGTAAACAAATGCCTGTGCAAAAAATAAGTATACAACCTGAGCCGATTTTCCCCTCGCGTGAGAATCTACCAGCACCAGAACCGCTCACGGTCCATGCGCAAATAAGGCTCGCCAGCTATTTCCCTTTTAACACACGTCCGTTTGAATTTCTACACTTTTTATCCACACACAATAACAAGGATTGTCGAGAAAGCATGTTTGCTGTGGTTGCGTCAAATTATACTGATCACAACACATTTATTTACTTAGTTTCATTTTCCTCTGCCACTCATAAATACCTGTGCCCTCCTGCAGCAATCCCGAAGTACAACAGATATCAATAACAACACAATAAAAAAATCTAGTGTGTTGTGTAAAACCTGCTATTTTTAGCACATTTTTAGGTCTGACGTGTTGCTACCTGACGCACAGTGTGAGCTCAAACTGAGTGCTACAAACTAAAAAGTCGCACAGTGTCTGCAGAATATATAGCAGACCTCAGAGTCCGCTTGCTTCTGCTTACATGTGGATGTTTCCTGGTCAGGTGCTGCAGCATCGAGGATGTGGTGTTGTGGTAGGCAAAATCCATTTTAAAGTATTTACACTGGACTACGTTTTCACCCCCCCCCCCCCCCCCCCTGCCGGAGCACGTTCCTGGAGGATGGACGGCGGCCGAGTGCGGAGGAGCGTGGGTGTCCCTCTCTCCACACATGTGCAGCACGCGTACAGGTGCCACTGAGTCCGGTCGGAGTCTTGGTCCGAGGAGGGGGTTCACCAGCAGCACGGGCAGCAGCAGCAGCAGCAGCAGCAGCAGCAGCAGCGGAGAGCGAGATCCGCGGCCGGAGAAGCCAGGGCACAGTGTGCAACACGGCAAGCGGGCAGAGTTACTCTGCCCCCGCTTGAAAGTATCGAGCAGTGCCTGGCAGTGTTTGGAGTTGCTGTGGCTCGGTGTGTGGTCTGGTGCCGGGGACCTTTTACTGCTGTGAATTTTGTGTGCCCACAGTGGCCGGGTGGAGGAGGAGTAGACCCGCCGTGAAGTTATCCTGTGGCTCCGCGAGGACGATGCTGCCGGCCTTGGAGGTTCCTTGGTCGAGAGCTCAGCAGGGCCGAACCGGACCGCCTTGTCCCTTGGGGCCCTGTGCACACTCGATTGAACGCTCTTTTTTTCCCTTGGCGTCATTATCAGGTTTTTTGTAATAAATGTCCCTTTTTAATTAGCTTTGGCTTTTGCACTGCTTGCCTTGTTTTTAGAACCTATTTTAATCTCCTTTTAATATTAGTGGCACCATCCATTTTACCTCGATCATGTCACATATGTGCGTCACTTATTTTGGTCCGGGTGAAACATGACCCTGGGCGATTGCAATGCCATGATTGCATAAACATGAATTAAACGAAGCCTCGAGGCAGAGAATTATACTCGAGGCGTTTTTGTCCTCTAATTATTCGAGGTACTTGAGGAATCGTTTCAGCCCTCGTTTACTTGGCAGACACATTTATCCAAAGCGATGTACAATTGTTAATCTATAGGGCAGAGCTATTCAAGTTCAGGGTTCGAGGGCCGGTATCCAGCACGTTTTAGTAGTTTCTCTGGTCCAACACACTAGATTCAGTGGTTGAGTCACCTGTGCAGCAGTTCATCAGGCTCTGCAGATTCATGTTAATCACCTGCTGATTGAAATCAGGTGTGTTGAAGCAGAGTTAAAAATAAAACATGCTGGACACCGGCCCTCGAGGCCTGGAATTGAATAGCCCTGCTATAGGGCATGTTGTGATCTGTGGGGAAAACCGGAATACCCAGAGCATGCATGGAGAACATGCAACTCCAAGCAGAAAGGCCACAGCCAAGTTTCCAACCTGCAGCCTTCCTGCTGCGAGGCAACAGTGCTAACAACTGCACCACCATGCAGCCCGGAAGTGTTGTGGTTATGTTTGCATTGTTCGTTCTGTTCGTTATCCTCCGCTTAACAGGGTTCATGTCGCGGGGGCAGCATCTCAAGTAGGGCATCCCAGACAGTTGTGTCCATGCCCACCTCCACCAGCTCTTCCGGAAGGACCTCAAGGCTCTAACGTGTCCTTAGTCAACCCAGGGGCTTCCTGCCAGCAGGACATGCCCAAAACATCCACCCCAGGAAGGTGCCCAGGCAGCCACCTCAGCTTGATGCGGCAGAGCAGTGACTCTACTCAGAGTCCCTCCTGAATGTCGGAGCTCCTCACCCTCTCTCTACGGCCGAGCCCGGCCACCCTCCACAGGACACTCATTTTGGCCGTTTGTTTCCACGATCTTGTTCTTTCAGTTATTACTCAAAGCTCATGACCAAAGGTGAGAGTTGGGACATGGAACGACCGGTAAATCGAGAGCCTTGCTTTCTGGCTGAGCTCCCACTTTATGACAGAACCAGCCCCAATCCGCCTGTCGAATTCTCGACAATGTTTGCACAGCCTAATTTTAAAGCTCTTGCAGGCAAAGTAACTTTACTGGACTGTTTGAAGGACATAAAATGTTGGATGGCTTCAAATTTTTTGCAACTAAATGAGAGCAAAACGGAAGTTATAATACTTAGTCCTGGCAGAATAAATGGCTCAGGTGCTGATATTGACCTTGGCCCATTGACCCCCTATGAAAAGAAAATAGTCAGTAATTTGGGGATAAAAATTGACTCCTCACTTAATCTTGACGTAAAATATCGTAAATAAAAAAAGATCGTAAATACGGTGGTGATGTCCTGTTTATTTAATCTGAAACGGATATCCAGGATCAGACCTCTGCTGTCCAGAGCTCATCTGAAGTCTGTGTTGCATGCTTTCGTCCTGTCCCGTCTGGACTACTGTAATGCTCTGTATGCCGGTCTGGGCCAGTGCACAGTTGCACGGTTCCAATTTGTACAGAACTCAGTGGCTAGGTTCCTGACAGGTACTAGATGCCGAGATCACATTACTCCAGTGCTGCTTCCTCTGCACTGGCTCCCGGTGCAATATCGAGCTAAATTGAAGATCTTAACTCTTGTTTATAAGGCCCTCCAGGGCAGTGCCCCCTCTTACATTACTGCACTTTTGCACAAGTATGCTCCATTTCGGTCTCTTCGCTCAGCCGAGCAGGGATGTCTGGTGGTCCCCCGGTTGAAATATTGGGTTATCGTGCATTTTCTGCTTTGGCTCCAACTCTGTGGAATGAATTGCCATTGAGCATCAGGCAGGCGCCGTCCCTTCAAGTCTTTAAGTATCGTCTAAAGACTAATTTCTATTTGATTGCTTTTCAGCGCTAGGGTTCATTGAATTGCCCTGACATTATTGTTTTAATACTTCTTTTTGATCAGGATGCTTGATCTTATTTCGTCCACCATTTGTTTTTAATTGTTTAGTCTCATTCCATTACCGCTCTGTATTTGTAATATTGCTTGCTGGTTATTTTATGATTTTATGTTTTTATCTTGCTCTTATGCCCAGGTACTGGGAATGTTTTTATGATGCTGTTCAGCACCTTGGGCTTCTGATAACGTTGCAGAAGGTGCTCTACAAATAAAATTGATTGATTGATTGAAAGTGACCAATTTGTTTCGGTTGTAAGCTAATTAAATAAAAGGAATTTGTTCATCTCTAGTTGTTGAACATTTTGACTTCATCTAGAAATCCGATTTGGAACTTAGAATATCAGTTTTCAGAACTCAATGTTATGAGCATCAAAAACGAGTTTTTGAAAGCGACAAAAATTTTAAATAACCAATGATCACAATGGTATTCAGCCTGAGTGGAGCTAGATACTGAATAAATTATTCTATAATAAATGTTTCATTCATATATTTTATTTATAGCATGTATTTGTTTTAATCCATATTTAATTTTGTTGTTTGATCATGTTCCGTTTTGTAAGAAACGTTTTATACAGCATTCATTTCTTACATACATTTACACACAATACATTTTCTCAATAACACATATTAAGGTAATCAAACAGCAGCTTTACAATCCTTCCAGGGCAATTTTTGCTACTGCTTCCATGGAAGCAGCATTTTTCCTCCACAGCATTTCTCATTTATTTGCTTCCTCTGTGGATTCTTGTGAGGACAGAGTGAGTAATGCTCGTGTGAGGAGGCTTGTCCGCTTTTGGCTGTTTGGGTTATAAAATAACAGACACACAACATTGTAGAAACCAAATGACACATGTGACTGATATACAGATCATAACATTAAAAACAAAAAGTTAAGGTAATGCCGTTTTAGCTGCAAGGCAGTGATCTATTTTTCACTCTCTGCAACAAATCTGAGAACAATTACGAGCATCGCCGAGAGGAAGAACAAACTGATTTATCTGCTTGGATGGGGGAAAAAAACGTCTTTGACTGGTGGATCTTACAAAAGTCTCACACATTTTCTGCATCAGAGTGTAAATGTGTGCATGGATGTATTTTCTAAAGCTCATCACCTGCATGTGGAAAGCTGAAAGCTTCCTAAACTTGCTTCTGGCAGCCCAGCAAACAAGTCACATTAAATGACTTCACAACAGAAAAGAACTCGGGAAATTTAGGCTTTGATTCACTTTTAATTCCCCAGAAATGCACCCAAGAAGGGCTCCAAGAGAGCGGTGACTAAAACCGCCGGAAAAGGAGGAAAGAAAAGAAAGAGGACCAGGAAGGAGAGCTATGCCATCTACGTTTACAAGGTGCTGAAGCAGGTCCACCCCGACACCGGAATCTCGTCAAAGGCCATGAGCATCATGAACTCATTCGTCAACGACATCTTTGAGCGCATCGCCTCCGAGGCTTCCCGCTTGACTCACTACAACAAGCGATCCACCATCACCTCAAGGGAGATCCAGACTGCTGTCCGCCTCTTGCTCCCCGGTGAACTGGCCAAGCACGCCGTGTCTGAGGGCACCAAGGCCGTTACCAAATTCACCAGCTCCAAGTAAACTGCTGCCAACTACTAATACACCAACTAGCTAAATTATAAAAATTAGCCATTTTTATATTTTGCTTGTTTTTACGTTATTGTATTTTGCACAACTGTTACTGTGAAACTCGCACACAAGAATTTCACTCGCATGTACTGTACCAGTGTACCTGCACATGTGACGTGACAATAAAAGTGATTTGATTTGATTTGAAATGTACATTTTTAAAGGTGTAGTTCTCTGAAAAACAATTTTTATGATTATTTCTAATTATAATCGGCCCTACACTTTTCTCCTGCAATAGCTTCTGATAGAAAACAGACTGTGTAACTCTGGGATTTGAAAAGCCTGACAGATCTACATCTCACCATCACGTAACATTCATGGACTCATCCAGCTTAAATCAGAATGGGGAAATCTGTTTTTTTTAGCATCCACGAAACAGCAGAGAACATCTCGGCTAGCAGAAGCTAACCGTTAGCATTAGCAATTCAACCACAAGGCAGGAGCTTCTGCCATAAAACATAAAACAATGTTGCAAACCCAACTGAGTCCGTGGTCACATTGCTGTTATCCAATCCAAGGCGAGATGTTCAAATATCAGGAAATAAGGCTCCAAATCCTTCCATGTTAAAATCTCCTCTCACTCGGCAGACCCTTCCCTGCTGATGTGGGGGTTTCTGGGCTTTTTTGCCCTGAGTATGGCTTGCAAGGCATTAATTCCTACCAGAGACCATTGCAAATGTATTGATTAAATGAGTTTCCCACACCTTGAATGTAAAAAAAAAAGTGTTAATTTGAAACAGCAATCGAGTTTAAACTAAGCATGGAGGGGAATTCTTTGAAAAAAGTGAATTCTTCGTGAACGTGCCGGCGCAGATTCAGAACATTCTTCTCTGGCGCTCACAGGGAGCAGACGCTTCTGCCTTTCCTCCTCCCTTATCTGTGTTTTCCCAAGGCTCTTTTTGTCCCGTCTGCCTACAGAGCGCTTCTCTGCATTTCCTCTGCAATCACCTTTTTATTTTTCAATATGGATTTAATTAATTGGTCATTCAACGCGATTGATAAGATTTTTTCTACAATGAGGACGGAGGAGGGGGCTCACGCTTGTCCTCAGGGGACACATGCAGCGGGATACATGTTCGATTCCTGGAAAAAGTGGAATGTCATCTGTCTCTCTCAGCTGTCCATTGAGGACGTCGAAGATATGTGGATATTTGGCCTGATGATCGTTGGATTTCTTCTGATTGGAGTGGGAGGATATCTGGCTTTCCGTAAAATTGGGATGACGGGAGCGATTGGAGGGCGATCCGCATCCATGGACGGCACCGTCCGTGTGGATACCTCACAGACTGGGACGTTGCTCGAGGTGAATCGCAAGCTGGACAATGTCTTAGCTGCGTTACCGGTGTTAGCGCGCAGGATTGATAACATCTCGGAAAGGGTCACCGGACGGTGTGGAGATGTTTAATCTCTGAATTGGCTTCATTGGAGGACTTGAATGATCAATACAGACTTAAGGCAGAGAGGAAAAATTATCTCTGTCTGACCCAAAACAAAGTTCTGTTATCGAATCTGACGCCATAAGCAGCCTTGGAGTTGCATGCAAAACCCCCACGCTGGAAGGAATGCAGACAAATGCTGTGAATCTCTATCCACCCACCCCCCCGCCTTCAGATTGTGGTCTCTACCGAGGTCATGAAGCTGAAGGACTCACTGCTCTCTGTGCTTCCCCTGACCTCCCTCCCACCTGCGGAGCCAGCGGTTGAGCGCCACACAGGCCGCCCCCGCTGATGAAACCAGGATCCCAGCCCCACCCCCCTACCTACCGGGTCTCATGTTGTGAACTGTGACGTTTGTTGCTTACATGTCGGGTGTTTTTTTTGCATTGGAGCGCTACACCCTGCTGGTGTAACCCTGTTAATGCCTTTTTTTTCTCCCTCCCTGAACTTTCCTCATGTATTCCCTTACTCATCTACACAGGAGCGCCGTTATGGCTGCTCTCATGGTCTGCCTGTATCTGTCTTGTCTATATGTGTGTGTGTGTGTGTGTGTGTGTAACCTTGGTCAGGTTGTACTGTGGAGTCAAGTTCCTACGCTCTGAAAGGAGCGCTGGCAATAAAATTCTTCCGATTCTGATTCTGATTCTGGTTTGCGTTCTGGCCTAATGAGACTGGAGGTCACGAGACAGAGCCATGCAAGAGAAGACAAAAGTTCTGCCTGAATCCCAAACAGGAACATCAGCATGAGCACGAATGAAGGTGGGAGGAGATGAGAAGAAAAGATAGGAAAGAACAAAAGGAGGCCTTCAAACATAGAAGCCAGTGACAGGGAGACGGTGACGTTCTGATGGGGACGTATAAATAGAGTGAAGCTGGGAAAAACTAGTCAAAACACAGAACGAAAGAAAGAAATAAAGTGGGGCTTGGGAGGGCGGGGCACAAGAGACTCAGATCTATTTTTAATGTCTGGCTCTAGATCAGCAAAAGGAATGTATAACTACAGCCTCATGAATAATGCAAGCAGGATTCTTTTAATTAGCCACACCAAGCTGTGATACAGCAGCAGAGGATGGGACAAACACGTGCACCAACGCGTGTGTAAGCAGCAGAGATACGTACTTGTTCTCGCTAATGGATGTGATGACCACAGAAAGAGAAAATCTGCACGGTATATTTTTAGTGCTCAGTTTGCTAAACGTGTCACACACCCGTCGCAGGAGAGGCGAGTCAAACAAGATGCCTTGGCAGGGACTTTCTGATAGACTTCACAGAAAGAGGAGCCTCTGGACACCACTCAAAGAGCTGTGTGCCGCCTGTCATGTGTTGGATAAGTCACAATATGAACGTATTAATTATTAAGCATTCAAATGGATAATATTACAAACCTCCTGTAATTGTTACGCTGCCAGGACAAGAGTACTAGTCACTATTTCTTGCACAAGGAAACAAGAGCCATTTCCGGCACACATGCCACACAACCAGATCGACTGATGGGTTAGAGGGGAAAAAAGGTGAGGCAATTAATCAAAAGTTCTTAGTCTATAATTCAGCTTGAGTAGTTTCACTAATTAACGGTGCTTGGGTTGTCTATGTAACATCTTCATTATCAACCTTGGATCAAACCGGAAGAGGCTTCAGTGGGATGAGTTCTAATCAACTTGTCGTAAGCAGCCTTCCTTCCGAACAAAAATTTAAACGGGTGGTCGAAGCTCAGCCTGGAGAAAAAATGAAAAAGGAAGTCACTAAATTCTCTCCACGCATCAAGAGAAGGCAGGAAGCTGGATCCAAGTTGGAATGGGACATCAAGACAATGGCAGGATGCTACTCGGTTTTTATCTGGCAACTCAAATCCTCCCCTCTTCAGAGCCTTAATTTGTAAGCTAATTTGCGGCTGGCAAAGATAGGCTTGGGCATTAGAGAGGATATTGGATGTAATTCGCTACATCTTCATTTGCGGACTGAAGTTTAATTGCCAATGAGGGGGCTGAGAAGAAGATGAGCAGACCCAAAAACCATGGGAAATCAAGAAAATAAAAACAGTTCACAGGGGGGAAAAAACTGACGTTGGAAAAACATTGTGACCTTGATCTGTTTTTTTTTTTTACTGTTACAATGTGGTTGTAGTAATAAGAAGGAAAAACAAACAATTACAGCTGGAAGGGTTGCCAACGACTGCCAAATTAGGTCAATCATTTGCTCAAAACACTGTAGTGCATTTGTGTTTGCTAGGGCAGCATCCTGGTGTGTGACAATGACACACTCCAATACGGATTAAAAGTCAACACTATCAAAACGTTAGCCAGATGTGTGCTTTTCTTCTCCAGTCACGTATTTGTTGTATTCACGTTCCTGAAGCATTGAACACATCAAAAGAATCTGAAAACAGTCGAGTCCAAATTTCTCTAAATAAACAAGTTCAAACTTTAGACTGCAACGACACATTTCCATGAGCAAAGTTGCACGATAGAAAACATTTCTCTGAAATGTAACATTAAATTGTTTGGGCTAAACCGCTGCAACGGGATTACTCTCTAGATAAGTCTTAAGCATCTAGAGATCTAGACCAACCTTTGTAGCAAACACATTTTGCTCTGCAGGTCCGTCTAGCCCAGGGGTGTCAAACTCAAACTCACACGGGGCCGAAATGAAACTCTGGGACGGAGTCGAGGGCCAAACTTAATATTTTTTGAAAAAGTGACGGCAAATTTGCACATTTTCTTTATCAACATATATGCAATTTTGAACCTTTAAATTTGGAAACAAACTTATTTCTGCATTAACACTGAATGTGGAATAACCAAATTACACACGAGCAAGTCAGTTTTAAATAAAAGGCATCAGTGGTATTCATTACTTGTGGTATAATCAGCATTTTCAAAATCTATTCAGGATTTATGTTTTCTTGTTTATTCATTTTTCTTATTTTTTATTCTCCTTTTTTCTCCTGTAACAAGTGTCATCGCTGCTGTGACGTCTAGCTTTCCCCACTGAGGAACAATAAAGGGATTTTCTATTCTATTCATCTATCTGCAGCCTTTCCACTTCCTGTTTACTGTAGGTTAAATCTTTTCTCACGGGCCAACAACAACATAAAAATATCATTTTATCTTAAATGAAAATGCAACATCTCACCTGTTAACTTTCATGTTTTGGAGCAGAAAAAGAGCATAAAACCAACATATTTAAAGCTCAGTTTGATCCACTGGTTTACTGTGATGCTCACCTGTTCCAGCCAGATACCTGCATCGTGGGGTTGATCTGAGCTGAGGAGGAGACTCCTGTTGTTTTGTTCATCTTCATCATAATAATGACAACATTAGATGACAACAGGTGCTCACATAGGTTTGTGCTGATGAACATGTCTGAGCAGCTTGACCGCGTTGTTGTGTGTCGGGGAGGAAACACGACAGCAACCAAAGAGTCATGCTGGTTTGAGCGTGTCGCTGCTCGCTGGAGTTATATCGGCTCTGTCTGGATGTTAGTTGGAAAACTTCCTCTTTCAGTCGTGAACACATTACTGAGCGGCTAGAATCTCCGTTTCTGGGCTTCAACGTCAGAAAACAGCTGAGTGAACTCGGCGCTGAGTGAGAGGAGTTTAGTTGTCCGAGACAGCGGAGCTGCAGACACCCAACTACCCCTGACTGCCTCGGGCTGGAAAAAACACAAAGGAGGGGGCGCGTCGCCTCCGTGCTGACGCCGCAAAGC